CGTTAATTAATGCTACTATATGCTCTCGCAGTGGTGTATTATTTCGTTGACGTGTCCTGCACTTTTATCAAATATCATGTTCATAGGTCAAATAATTTTCTATTTCGTGACTGTGTGTGGATCTTTTTGTCCTTTATGCTAGATATTTGCCCTTAGCCTCCCTTAATCTAGCCCTGACGTTTTCAACTGACATTTCTTGTCCTTAAACTGAATCCTTATACGGAATTTCAAGTTCATAGGTTAAACTGCCTTCGAAATTTCTTGATTAATTATCAGCTTTCCAATTTTATATATATATATATATATATATATATATATATATATATATATTTGTCCTTAGCTTCCCTTAATGTAGCCCTGTCGCAAAATATGTTCTTAGCTGACGTATCCTGTCCATAAGATACCTACCTGCCAAATTTTATATTCATGGGTCAAATGGTTTTTCAGATCTCATGATTAATGGGTGCAAATGCTTACGTTTTATAAGTATATATAATGCTTTTCTTTAATGTCCCTCTCCCCTTTGATTTTTTGAACGGATCAATTCAAAAAATTAAAACTTGAGGTAATGAAATTGATGCGTGGATATCATATTTTCGAGTAAAATTGCCAGATGAAAATGTCAAGATGGCCGCTGGACGCCATCTTGGAAAAAAATTATATGAAAACGGGGGTTTTGTGGCCCATCATTTTGAAGCTCCTGACGAGCACTTTATAAGCTTAGAATATTAAGTCAATACCTTTACATACTACAAAATGGTGGTACATTTAATAACTACTTGAATACAAACCTACTAACTTGCACATCTCTACAAATAATTGTAATTCCCTGCCGTATCCACAGCAACAGCGATAAAAACTTGTTTTGTTATTTTTTGTTGGCAGTGACAAGAATATCAGTACGAAAACAAACATCATTGTACAGTTAAAATATTCTTATTTAGTCTTCGGTTTTAGTGCTAGATACTGTTTGAACTATTTTTAAAATGGTCAATTCTCGTCCCTTGGAAGAAAAAATCGAAGCGATTTTTATTTATGGTGCGACGCGTAACTTTCACGAGACCGAAAGGGTTTTTAATGATCGTTTCCCGAATCGTCCTATCTGTAGAAAATATTTGAGGGAACTTGTATCTAAATTTATAGCTACTGGTAGTGTAAACAACAAAAAGCCCTCAGGTCATCCGACCATCTCGGAAGAAAAGCAAGTTCAAATAATTGGTGAGGTCATAGTAAATCCCCAACAGTCTACTTCCTCCATCGCGAATGTATATGAGGTTTGTCCTTCTAGTGTATGGAGACTTTTGAAAAAGAATAAGTATCACCCATACAAAATTCAAATGGCTAACTGAAGATGACCCTGATCGAGGAACAGAATTCTGCGAGACTATGGCGGAAACGATTGCACGGCATCCTACCTATAACCAAAATATTTGTTTGACTGACTGTACATTTTTTCTCAATGGTAATGTGCATAGACAAAATTATCGTTATTAGAGTGACACCAATCCTCACGTCTTGCGGGAAACTCATACTCAATATCCACAAAAAATTAACGTTTGGGCTGGGATATTGGGAAATCATATTCTGGGGCCTCTATTCATCGAACAAGCTTTAATCGGGGAACTGGATTTGGATATGCTGGAAAATACTATTGACCCTCTAATCACCGAAATCATTGAAGCGAATCCTTATGAATTCGATACTGATATTGTATTCCAGCAAAATGGTGCTCCACCACACTACTCCAGACAAGTTAGGAATTATTTAGATAACAATTTCCCTGGTCGTTGGATTGGCCGTCGAGGTCCTGTGGAATGGCCAGCTCGCTCGCCAGATTTGACACCTTTAGACTTTTTTTGTAGGGCCCAGCGACCATCTTCACATTTTCATCTGTCAATTTTACTCTAAAATATGTTATCCATGCATCAATTTCACTACCTCGAATTTTAATTTTTTGAATTGATCCGTTAAAAAAATCAAAAAGGAGGCGGACATTAAGGAAAAGCAATATATATCCGCCCTCAACCCCTTAATTCGGCCCTGTCGTAAAATTCGTTCTGAGCTGACATAATTTGCTGTCCTAAAAGTACTGCCTTGCTAAATGTTGTCTTCATAAGTCAAATAGTTATAGCATAAGTTAACTCGAAAACTGATTAGATAGAAATACGCAACTGCCACTTTTCAGGATATTATTTCAGGAAGTCTTTGTTATTGTTTTTTTTATTTTAGAGATGACATTATAAGCAATATATACTAACACTGGGTTGGGCTAGAAATATTCAAGGTTCTTCAGTTTCAAGAATGCTATCCCAACTTCACCCCTTAGGGTATAATATACGAAATTTCGTTATACCTGCTCATTTACATTATATTAAAGAACCAAATATAAAAACCCATATTTGTTTCCCTAACTTAAAGAATAATAGCCCTTGTTCAACCCGTAAAGTTTTATTTTCGCAAATGAAGACATACATCTCCATACAATCTACAAGGGTAAGTTCGTGACTTTTTGAATCTCGCGCCTCTTAACTGTAAGGGCACGACTGCTCCTGTTCTTTGCTGAAAAAAGCATCACTCAAACCAAGGCTAAGCTTGGTAAATAATGGGTGATTTTTTTGCTAGTATCTTTTTGGCAACACTGTTTTTGACAGATGACTCGTGAATCGTGTCTTGTGTCATTGTCAAACTTGTTCAGTTTGGTCTATAATTTAGCCATGAATCGACTTACGAACGAACAACGCTTGCAAATTATTGAATTTTACTATCAAAATTCATGCTCGGTTAAGAGTGCATCGAGCACTGCTTCCAATTTATGGGCAATTTGGTCGGCCTACTGAGGGAGCTATTCGGAAGCTTGTGACTAAATTTCGAACCCAGTTTACATTATTGGACATTAAACCACCAACACGCAGACGTAGAGTGAGGACTGAAGAAAATATTGCCGCTGTATCCGCCAGTGTTAGTGATGACCGTGAAATGTCGATTCGCCGCCGTTCGCAGCAATTGGGCCTCTGTTACTCCACTACGTGGAAAATTTTGCGACAGGATTTGGGTGTAAAACCTAATAAAATACAGCTGGTGCAAGAATTGAAGCCACACGAAATCCCACAACGTTTCCCCTTTGGTGAATGGGCGCTGGCAAAGTTGGAGGAAGATCCACATTTTTATCGAAAAATTGTGTTCAGCGACGAAGCTCATTTCTGGTTGAATGGGTACGTTAAGAAGCAAAATTGCCGCATCTGGAGTGAAGACCAGCCAGAAGCATTGCAAGAGCTACCAATGCATCCCGAAAAAATCACAGTTTGGTGTGGATTATGGGCCGGTGGCATCATCGGGCCGTACTTCTTCAAAGACGACAATGGCAGGAACGTAACTGTGAGTGGCGAGCGCTACCGTGCGATGATAACAAACTTTTTTTTACCCAAAATGGAAGAGCTGGACTTGGGTGACATGTGGTTTCAACAAGACAGTGCCACATACCACACCGCACACGAAACAATGGCCCTATTGAGAGGCGAGTTCGGTGAACAGTTTATCTCACGTTTGGGGCCCGTCAATTGGCTGCCTAGATCGTGTGATTTAACGCCGTTGGACTATTTCTTGTGGGGCCATGTTAAGGCTAATGTCTACAGGGATAAACCAGCAACGATTGACGCACTGGAAGCCAATATTGAAGCATTTATTCGTGAGATACCGGCCGATATGTTGGAGAGAATGTGCCAAAATTGGACCTTGCGCATGGGCCATCTAAAGAGGAGCCGCGGCCAACATTTACATGAAATAATCTTTAAACATTAAATTATATCGACCGTTCTATCGACTCAAATAAAGATTTAATCGTTTTTTCGAATTTTTTGTGCTTTTTTGAAAATCAAATCCTATACCTCTTAAAAATTACCCGTTACTGTGGGGGCTCGGCACCATCAATTTCAATGGTAAAAAAGTGGTGTGGCTACACCTGAAACAATTGAAAAAATTAACGATATTATATTGGCCAATCGAAGCCATGGGCATATCACACGGCTCTGTAGTTCCGACATTGAACTATTACTTTGGTACTCGTATGAGAAAGCTATCCGCAAGATGAGTTCCGCGGTTGCTTATAATCGAACACAAACGCAATCGTGTGACAACTTCGAAGGAGTGTTATTCGGTATTCAACCACAATAGGGACGAGTCTTTGTGCCGTTTCATAATTGTGGACGAATCATGGATTCACCACAACCCACCAGAGATCAAGCAGAAGTGAAAACAGTGGGTTTCTCCGAGCGAATCGGTGCCGAAGAAGGCCAAGGTGGGTTTGTCAGCCAATAAAGCCAGGGCTCCGTGTTTTGGGGCATACGAGGTATAATACACAATGGTTACCTTCAAAATGGAAGAACAATCAATGGCGAATATCATGACATTTTATTGGAGCGATTCAATGAGGATTTCAACTGAGAAAAAAGATACATAAAAGTTCTTTTCCACCAATACAATGCAACGGTACACACATGTGTAGTCTCCATGGCGAAATTGCATGAATTGTTTACAAACCTAAGGAAATGGCTTGGCGGAAACAGATTGTGCTCCAAGGATGAAATCGACAAACAAATGCTTATTTTGGAGAGATCGTAAAATCGTATTTTTGGAAGGGACAAAAAAATAGAAAAACGTTGGACGGAGTATGTAGTGCTCAAAGGAGACTATGTTGAGAAATAAAATGATTTTTGTGTCAAAAAACCTGTGTTTAATTAAAAAAAGTGACGGACTTATTGACTCGTCCTTGTATATCTGGCATGAAAACGGAACATACAAAATATACATACATACTTTCGCATGCATAATATTAGTAGTAATAACATTATTCTGTATGGCTATCCTTCCGTTTCGTTTGTCTTACATATTATACCATCATAGAATAAATGTTGGACAGTTAAGTTGAACATTTATTGTTCGTAACAACATATCCATCAGACAAAGCCTTTGCGGCAGACTGAAAATAATTTGAATTCTTGTAGGTTATTCCAGCTAGAGACAGTAAGTCTAGCGGGCTTGCTCTATAAATATAAATTTTATTCGGCACTATTCCAGATTCGGGTCGCAGCGGTTTTATTTTGTCATCCGAAGAATTTTCTGTGTTCGTGTCCAGCTTGACAAAACGAATATGCATCGCTTTGTATCAGAACATCGAAACAGAATGCTTTGAAGTTTCAATGCAAAATAAGACAAATTCGGTATCTGTGTACAAGCATGCTTGTTTTATGAGCGTAATAGAGAAAGTTAGGTTTGGGTTTTGTTATAGACAATAAATCTGTTGAGGTTCTTTGGCTAAGATTTAGTGCTATGAAAGAGGCTCATTTTCTTTCAGACATTCCTATTATTTCTCGGAGTGGAGTTTGGTTCTTTATTTGCTGATGTGATAGAAACACTAACATTTGGCTTGGCGACATTCTGTAATATTCACCGAAATTAGTGACGGAAAAAACGAATTTTCTCAAAATAGTTTTAATTTTCTCCTGACCTTATTTGTGAGGGGATTTCAAAACAAATTACACAATCGTGTTGCCATTTTCTGTCTTCTACAATATGGTGTAATTAGAATTTCAATATGATGTTTCATTTCTTGTCCTCCAGCATCAACTTAATTTTTCCTAACGGACGCTATATTAGATTTGTGCACAAGTCTTTTGACCTCCAGCATCAACTTCATTTTTCATTATGGATACCATACTGGATTTTTACACAGATAGATAGAGTTTTCAATCCTGATACCAAAATGTATAATACGTCATACACTGATCTTGCTAAGCCTTAGTTATTTCAAAAAAGCAGAAATTCCTAGATATCCTTGAAATTTTCAGACAGTCATTTGTTTCGCCGCCCAGATTAATCCCAAAATCACTTTAGTTTTTTCCTGACTTCATTTGAGGTGGGATTCCAAAATGACGTATTATACATATTTGGTATCAGAATTAAAAAATCTGGTTATCTAAAATGTAAAAATCCGGTATGGTATCCATAATAAAAACTGAAGTTTGAGGACAAAAGACGAATCGTCATATTTAAATTCCAATTATGCCTTCTTGTAGAGGAGGAACAGTGGCAAAGTTGAAATCCCACTACTAACAAAGTGAGGAAAAAGATAAAACAATTTTGTGAAAATTCGGTTTTTTCCGTCTCTTTCCGGAAGTACTTTGAATTCCGAAACTTTCTAAGTGGCATTTTGTTAATTACCTAAATACGTAACTTTGCCTCCGTTTCGACTTCGTATCTCTTACAGCTTCCGAGATCCCAGTGGTGAGGGTCGAATTTGAAACATATTATCTTGGAATTAAGTTTACCTTTTTGGATCTCGAAGTTACTTTTTGTCATTCAAAGTTGAGACTTTACAGAGCGTATATGACGGGCAATATATTAATAATACTCAATAATATTTATTTACAAGAACCTATAAAGTAAATAAATATGAAGCCCCATAGAAGGTAATGCCTGCGTATGGGTTATAACAATTATTTAAAATATTGTATGATTATATAGAAGGGTGGCGCTGTGCATGAGGTTAGTATTACACCTAAATGATTTTTTTATTTAATATATTGGCACATTCCTACAACAATAGCGTGATGTTAGCTCACTGTGAGAGATCACATTGAAACTCTGGATACTCTGCGAGTATATTTGTGTATTCAGATCGTTGCCGTCGTTCTCGGCAGAGCTGCGTCCAAAAGCCATGTGGTTGGACATAGCAGAAGACCAAGATAGCCCCAAGTCCTGAGCATATGTGCGCCGCCATATACAATCAACTACCTAATGACATCAAAACCTTAGTTGCTGCTAACTCTTTCAAAAAACGTTTGCAAGCATTTTTGGTAGGAAAAGGTTATGATTCAGTTAATGACTCGTATTTTTGAATGGAAGAGCGACAACGTCAAGCAGTAATTACAAGCAGAACATGTTACACGGCAGTTCAAGCAGTACCAAAAAAATAGTGCGTATTTTCCTTTTTTTTTAAGTTTTCAATGATGTTACCGCAAATTAACTTTGTTATTTCAAACGAGGCTGACTCTGAAAAGGAAAGTCCCTACTTTTAGGACACCCTGTATAGTGGCAAGTGTCCTTATGGGTTTTAGTTCAGTGCTTATGCCACCTCTAAACAAAATAGCACGCTCCACATCACAAACAGTTTGCCGATAAAGTATTCACTCTTACATTATATTGTATATATTTGAGCCAATAACCATATGTTATTTCCCTTCGCCCAATAATTCCAAGATCATGTCAAACAATGGATTTGCGAAAATTTATCGTCCAACGCACTATCATTTACATCAGTATTTCGGATTATTTACACAGGCAGAGCTGTTACTGCAATCCGATCTGTATAATATAAAGTGCACTGTTTAATTACACTGTCATCCCCCCAGATTAATCAGAACTTATTGCGTTAACTACTCAAAGTCTATGTACAGTCTATCGATAGTAAGATCACTGGAAGGTCTAACTAGTTTCTACCCATGATACTATTTAATTGAGAAGATAGACTCACACACATGAGATCAGTTTATGGAACACGTGACGTGACTCGGTGACAAAACCTTCCAGAGTCTAGTGGCGAGTGATAAACGTTCAGATCTTTGATGTATTTTTCTGGAAAACGATTACTGCTCAAGAGAAAAAGTGTTGGGCCTACCTCAATATAATTTGGAAGCTGAAAAGTAATACAGTACCTTCCCTGCAGTTGATGATATTACCAAGGGCGTAGACTTCTCGCAGTATATGAATAAAAAAAGGCTAATTTGGTAAGAATTATTTAATAAATTCAATAAAACTCTTTATTAATACAAAAGGTTTTTATCGATTATCTATTCATATAAAAAGATTAAAAAACCATGAAGACACATAACATCTTATAAAAGCTGCTTATAAAGATGACATACAGTACATATGTTTCTCTATTATTTTTCTGTATAAAAACTTAATTTATCAAATTAATTTATGTTACTGATGCACTAAGGTGTTATTTAAAATTAATTTCTTCCCATTAAAAAAACAGTTGTCATCAAGTGACGTCATGTGCAATATCTTATGAAATTTTATCGCGAAATGAGTCTTTCTTTCCGGAGTTATAGTATCACCCTCGAGGTAGCTCGGTATCTTTATTATGTACTAATACAACGTTCGCCCACTGCCTTATACTCATTGGCGACGAGTGAAAGCAATGTTAGATGAGGTCAAATATATTGCCAAAAATAGAGGAGGAAGTTGTCATCAATTTCACGATACAACAAATCTACCAAAGATGGTTGCAATCAGGATAGTAATAAGCTCTTACGAAAACGCTATACATCGGAATTCTGATGGTGAAATATTCTCCAAGCTTTGATATCAGTCCATCCCAAACTATCTTATAGGTACTTATTTAGGTCTTTGGGTCAAATCCGAAACCAGATTATGTTAAAGATTCTGACACTCACCCTTGAGTTTGTTTTATTTAAGTACTGAGAATTGCTTGCGCTTGGACCACCTCAATAATTTTCAATTTCAAATTTCTCGCACAAAACATTGTTGGCGGAAAATTTAGCGGCAGATATGAAAAAGAATCTTGCGTACGTGGTACCCATTTTTCGGTATCTACTTATTCAATCGATCTACCGAGTTTAATGCGAAATCTATCTAAACATGTCCAAATTTTTGAATAGCATATTTACGATAACACAAGAATAGACCCCTGCCGGAACAATATCTATGTTAGCAACATCGACGCCCATTTGTGGGGGGCAGGTACCTCGCTCTCTAACTTCTGCTTAAGGAGCAAAATATTCTTTACAAGGTACTTGTTTCTTCGCTAACGAGTGGCGTGTGTTTTTACTCTTCAAAACATTCCTACATAGAAATTATTTTTTCTCCCTCCGCTTTAAACACCTAATAACTCTACTTCAACGTGGCTGTCTGGACATGTAAGCCTAACTTACTTCCACCCAGAATTTCGCTATACGAGCGCCCAATGGTTGTCAGCGTGGTAGAGGCTGTAGTGCTAACCTGTTCGCCATTACAAGAGAATTTTCTCTTGGCTGTGGATGTTGTTATTATCCATAGGTGGTACACGTTATCAGATTATCGAACGTGGAGGTGTCACCCGGCGGCTCTCTGAGGCAGAGACTGAACACATGCACACGTGTTCTCTCGTTAGAGTCCGTGTGACGCCGCCTCTTTTTTCTCTGTAGCCCCACGGTACCTACGAGTATTTCGGCTTGAGGCCTTCGTGGTGGTTCAAATATAAAAAAATACGTGGATAGGATCTTGCTACCCACAAACCATGATTGCGAACTGCGGGTTGCAGTGATTTAGGCAAAATAACAAGAGTGATTTTACTTTTTGTACGATGTATACCTTGTAGATGCTCAGACTGCAACTTGCTGAGTACGCGCGAAATTACATGGTAACTACATCTGATAACTTGGAGTAATAGAGACATCAGGAAAGAAATTACTGATATTTGTTCTGTGTGAAAATTGTACAGTTTGTAATTAAGTATATGTCTAGTTATTTATCGATGCCATTTGTTATTCACGTGACGGGTAATGGAACATCGTACTGGAACTATCGTAAAAAATATGGGTTGAAAGATTAAGTAGTAATTGTTGCTTGTCTAAACTGATTGGCCATATTAAAAATGACTTCAGGCGTAAGAAGAAAAAGGTGAGTGATCTAGTATTCAACAAAAAGAAAAGAGCTCTTGCTAGTATTATCCTGGTACACAGCACTGACATCATCCCATTTACTTGCTAAGGTATGCGCTGCAGTTCCGCTTCTTAGCAGCGCCTTTGAGAGCAAATGACGTTGTGACAAAGTTTAAGAGCGGGGAATGGGATAGGTCTAGGGGGAGCACGTCTCACGAACAGGTCTGTCAAGGTAATTTTACACGGGCATACAGCAATAAATACAAGAGGGCATTTGCCCCCCACTCCCTCCTCTGAATCCGCTCTCGCGCATGATTTGGATTGATCATACCCAATGAATTCGAATAGATGAGAAGAAGCTAAGCATTGCGTTCCTTGTCGCT